GTCTCTGTCTGTGTGGTCTCTGTCTGTGTGGTCTCTGTCTGTGTGGTCTCTGTTTGTGTGGTCTCTGTCTGTCTGTCTGTCTGTCTGTCTGTGTGGTCTCTGTCTGTCTGTGTGGTCTCTGTCTGTCTGTCTGGTCTCTGTCTGTCTGTCTGTCTGGTCTCTGTCTCTGTCTGTGTGGTCTCTGTCTCTGTCTGTGTGGTCTCTGTCTCTGTCTGGTCTCTGTCTCTTTCTGGTCTCTGTCTCTGTCTGTCTCTGTCTCTGTCTGTCTCTGTCTGTGTCTGTCTCTGTCTGTGTCTCTGTCTTTGTCTGTGTCTCTGTCTGTGTCTCTGTCTCTGTCTGTGTCTCTGTCTGTGTCTCTGTCTGTGTCTCTGTCTGTGTCTCTGTTTGTGTCTCTGTCTGTGTCTCTCTCTGTGTCTCTCTCTGTGTCTCTCTCTGTGTCTGTCTCTGTGTCTCTGTGTCTCTGTCTGTCTGTCTGTAGACTCCAGCTGCCGCAAACCATTTCCTTTGGTGGCGCAGAGAGCCCAAAGAGACAGAGGACATCAGAGAGGGTTGAGGAGAAGAGAAACATGGCAGAGCCAGCAAACGCAAGGAGGAGCAGAGACAGAACTCTTATGATTGCCAGATGCTGAGGATGACGAGAGTGTTAGAATGAGCCCCAAGAAGAAGGTGAGGAGCGCCCGAGAATACTTACGAGGAGGTTATGACATGTTGGCTGAAGAAATCCGTCACTCGGCGTTGGATGACGTCAGTGGGGACGAAGAAGGAGGAGAAGCAAAGGCAAAGGGTTGACCGCCAGAGGTCACAGATGAAGAGCTGGCCAAAATTTGAGAAAAGATCAGAGCATATGGGAGACGAGAGAGGACGAGCGCGTCCTCACCAGAAAAATGGCGACCACATGGAAGTTTCGTGACGAGAAAGGAGGATGGCTCAGACGGCCAGGTTGGCGGGAAGGCAGTTCAAATGGCTGCATCTCCACATGACACTTGATGTCAAAGATGCCTTCTTGCCGATGGAGCAGCCAGCTGATGAGGAGGCGATGATCGTTGCCAGTGACGGCAAGTACAGGCTGAGGAGGAACTTCTCTGCCAAAAACGCAGCGCCGCACGCAAGCTACCGTGATGTTAGAGAGGTGGTGGATCCTATACGCAAGCCAAATGCTTTAAGGGTTGCGTGGTGTGGCTCGGGACAGTGGTGTGACTCTGGATATCACGCAGAGAAATACATGAAGCAGAAGACTTAGAAGGTGAAAAAGAGAGGTCCACCATACCAAGGATTCAGCAGCCTCAAACGCAACATGGAGATCGTCAAGTCTGGCGTCGCCATCATTCCAGATCAGGAGCGCATCAAGAGCTTGCCAAGGTCAGAAACGTGAAGCGTCGAAAGTTCCCCACCACTCAGCAAAATGGGAACTTCACGACTCCAGACCGCCCAGATGCAAACTTGTTGTTCAGGGATTGGCCAGCTTGATTCAAAATGCCACTGTGCTCTTATTTGTTGGGAACAATGCGCGAGGGCATTTTTGTGGAGGGTGTTTTGAATGTCGGTGACAACGTGTTTGAATGGGAAGCGACGACGGTGCAACCATGGCCCAACAAGCTCAGCCTCGGTGAGGATTGGGGCAATGCCAACTTGCTCGAGGTGATCTGTGACACGGACTATGCTCCACAGAAGGACGCAAGAAGGTCAGCGAGCTCAGCGCAGATCTACCTCGATGGAGGACTGATGGAGAGCAGGTGTCAAGGATGCCTTTTCATCAGGAGAGAGCGAGTACGTGGTTGGGGGCTGGAGTGAAGGGTTGTTCATCAAGCGCCATTGGCAATTTCTGGCAGGTGAAGAGGTGGACATGGTCTACAGGAGTGAATCTCCTGCAGCAAGACGAGCCGCGTTGCAGCAGGATTTCTATGGCTGCCACAGAAGGTGAAAGCAAAGGAGATGTGCATCACCGCAACCCCAACGGCCATCAACGTCAGTGACACAGGCGCCAAGATTCTCAGCAAAGCGGCGTGAGAGGATTGAATGAAGTATTTGACCAAGATGGTTGACGCAGATGACCAGGAGATAGCGAAGCAGAGTTGAGGAGATCCGAAGAAGAGCGTAGTTAAACCAAAGAAGAGCCGAAGAAGAAAGCTGGAAAGTTGGCCAAATCTGTAGGAGGACATGCAAAGATTGCGTTGGTCCTGGCGTTGACAATGCTGCAAAAAGGAATAAGGCATCAGAAGCGCGCGAGAGACATGTGTTGCTCACGCTGGTATGTCTTGCTGGTGTTGGGGCCTGCACGGTGGCTTTGTGAGAAAGGAGTTCAGTGGGGCAATGGAAGACGAGTTCACGGAAGAAACACGACAGAGGAAGTGAAGCCAGCCAGAGGGAGAGGCAGCTGGAAGGTGATCCTGAGAAAGTGAACATGCAGTGGCAAGTCATCATTGATGAAAGAAATGAAGAGAAGGGGGCATGGATGCATGAAGCTCTCAATTTCAGTGACATGAATGTCGACCTTAGAGGACAAGTGAAATTCAGCATGGAGGCCGAGCGGTGAACGCTACCACCAGATGAATGCAATTGTGTGGCCAATAGAGTAGACACGGTGCATGCTGCGTACCATCCACCGTGAGGGGCGTTTGGAGTGGACTCAGGACTTGATGGTGGATGGGACGCATGGACAGTGACTGTGGGGCCCAAATCTGAGGCGCAAAAAGGTTGTGCACCGCTTTTCATAAGCGCTTCGTGGTCTATGGAACACACGCAGTTGGCTTGGATATTGATTTTGTTTGTGTAAGATTGTGAGAAAGCTATTGGATTGCATTTCATGATTTGTGCTTTCAGAATTGTCCTTGATATTCGACATGTGAATAAACAATGCAACGAACAACACGCGCAGAAAAATATGCCAGATCTTGGTGTGTGCTTCCGGTTGTCAGCTGGGTTAACGTTTTCCTTTGCCTGTTCCATTGTGTCATCCTTTTCCTTTTCTCTCTTCCTTTTCCGATTGCTGTGGCAGTTGCTGATGATTTGGTTCTTGTTGCCTTTCGTATTCCATGAAAACAATTCGTGCTTGTGCGTATTTTGCGATTGAATGAACCTGCCAGAACTGCACGTGTTGTTATATGGGTCTGTTTTTGTTCTGGCAGCTGTGCGTTTTCTGCTTTCTGGGGTGTGCAAGTCGTGTTTGATGTGTTTTGCACTTGTAAATCTTAAGTGCAAATCCAAACGGAACTACAAAGCGGGCCGCTTGTGTTTGTGTTTACCGACATCTCTGATGACCGTGTGCGGTTTCAACGGCAAGGTGCTATGGCAGCAAAGAGAATACAGGAGTGGGAGTGCCTATAGTCATGGACATTGTTCAATTCAACATCTTTCAGTTTGTGAACCCTCCCTACTTAGTTTCGCCAAAACCCCCTCGCTTCTTCCCACCGGACGCCCGGTTTCAGGACTTCGCTGGACCTGAACTGGTCTCGTTGCTGCGGAGCTTTGCACAGGCAAACGTCAAAGACCTTCAGCTCCTGGAGGTGAGATCGAGACAGATGGGAGAGGGAAGAAAACACACGTTAAATCCAAAAATGCGAGAGATATCGATAGATGATAGGACTTGCTGAACAAACATGTCCAAACATGAAGAAACACACCATTTTGAAACGTTCATTGTCATTTGGGAGCAGGAGAGGCCTTGACCAGGCCTTGACCACTGCCTTATGTCCTCAACTTCACCTGTGTTGTCCTGGTGAACTGGCTGAGGCATGGCTTGAGTGGTGGGGGGGGGGGCGTTTTGGTGGCCAAAACGATATCTTCACTTTTCCTTCCCTGCGGCTTTTCGCTCATACCTTGACGGTTCTCCTACCAACCTCATCCCCAGCCAGATCGGACGCGCCAGCGTTCGAGCTCTTCGAGCTCCGCACAGGTGGCACGGGACTTGAGGTTCTTTCGCTTCCGGCCGAGCAAGATGCCGCTTGGGCGATGTCGTTGAGTGTGAAAAGAGAGGCATCTGGATCAAACAATTAGAAAGAGCATCAAAAAGAGTAAAAAGAGGAGCAACCAAATAAAGGATAACAACACATATTCCTTGATAGGCCTCTTCTGCTGCTCTCCTGGCCCTGTGGTCTGAGGGTCCTCTGGTAATAAGGTCCCTTGGTCCTGTGGTCCGCTGGTCCGCTGGTATCCTGGTCCTTCTGTCTCCTGGTCCGCTGGTCTCTTGCTCTCCTACTCCGCTCGTCTTTCAGTCTCCTGGCCCCTGCTTGCGCAAATAGAGGCTTGATAGCTTTCTACTAGAGGCAGCTCCCTGGGAGGAAAGTAGGTACCCAATGATAAGGTAGCTGTCCAGTCATTGAGTAGCCCTGCTCAAAAAATGGTTCACCAGTAGAAATAGCTCCAGGGAGGTACACTCTCCTAGTCCCCTACTCCTTCCATCCTCTTCCCTTGGTCTCCTAATCCACTGCTAGGGAATTGTTTTGATCCTGTTCTTTTCTGTTGATTTAGTCCGCTAATGTGCTTTTGGCGCAGACACGCCAATCATAGCATGTCCATGGAGGGTAGTGCAGAACAGAACACACTAGAACCTCTTTGAGCCGATGCTCAACCCCTGGAGAAGGGTCAGAGGACCGCACCGCTCCGCGCCCCACTCGTTTTCTTTTTCGCCAAGCCCATGCAGAGTGTTTTTGGGTGACTTTAGACAGCAACCAGGTCATGGAAAGAACCTTCTTGGGATCCATTGGAGCGGCATGAGGTGTTTGGCAGCTCTTCATGGAGAAAGCAAAGCCAAGCTCAAAGCCTTTCAGGCGAAAGCGGCGAACGTCGAATTCACAGAGCTGTCAAAATGTTCGATTTCGACACGCCTGAGACAGATTAAGAAGCCTTTGAACTATCCTCATTACATAATGATCATAAGGTATTTGGATTACATGGCCTCACCGTCTCTACCTTCAGTTTCACCATCCCGCTCCTCGCAGGCTGCGGGGCTTTGCGACGTCTTGTGGTGCTTGGACTCTTTTGGCCGGGATTGACACGCGACGTGAGACGTCGAGGGGCCGGTGTCGTGTTGCCGTGGATGACTTCGGAGAGCAATAGGTGGATCTGGACACCTCTGATCATTATGGTCATTTGCCATGTTTTGAAATCGTCCTTTTGGAGTCGAATCAGTGAGCTTTTTCGTGTCGTATCGTCGTATCGTGGCAGGTGAACATGAGATGTGTGCGGATCTCATTGAATCGACCACCATCTTTCCAGATCAGCAGGACACTTAGATCGTGCGACATCGCCTCAATCGCCTCGGATGTCGGTCGAGGCCGATCCTTCTGGCCACGGCCTGTGCTTTGTCGGAGACGGCATGTGCTACACCAGGTCTGTGGGTTGAGACGCGTGCGTCAGCTGTGCGTCCAGCGTTTTGTGGGTTGAGAATGGGTGCTTGGATGTGCTTGGTTTTCTTCAGCCACATGAGACAGCCTGCACTGCAGCCGCAAACGAAACGCGAGTTGGCTGCGGTGTGGGCCGCAGATTGGAGGCCGAGAAAGGCACTTGGATGAGATTTTGCAACCATTGCTGACGGCTCTGAGGCGTCACTGAGACATCGCAATCCACAGCGAGGAAATATGAGTGACCAGAGCCATGAAACATCACGTCTATAGAGGAAAGACGAAGAAGAGATCATGGGATAGAGGTCGCTTCTCCTACAGTGTAGGCTTTCACTGTTGAATGTTTGGCGATTGTTTCCCTAGGAAAATCACCCTTTAAATTGGGGAACTGAATCATGCGACGAAGGCGGGGCACCAGCTTCAACGTGCCGGTGCCTCACTTGGGCCCACATCACACAAAGCGCCTGCTGAAAGCACTTGGCGTCCAGGCAAGACACTCCTGTGCTGAGTGTCTTGCAGATCACCAGATTGCCGACCACGGGTCGATTTGTCAAACGCATTCGAAGAGCTCTTTGAGAACTTCGTTTTTTGTTTCCCTGAAACATCATGTAGATTGTGTACTTCTGGGGCTGCTCCGGCGCTTCGGCCGCAACAAACACACCTTCGCCACCAACCTTTTGGCCAGGCCACGTGCGACCGCCGCTGGGCGGCCGCAGCGCGGCGCGCGGTGCGCGCGGTGGCGGAGAGCTCGCCCAGTCCAGCTGCCCCTCGTGCCACTCGTCCCTTCGAAAGCGTTGCCTTCAACATGTAGAGCGGAGTGGTTGGGATTTCGTAACGGACGGACGTTGTGAGCATCCTGGCATCCGGGTTTTAAGTCCAACCCTCACGAAGATAGTTCAAAGTTTATATGCTCAAACTCGCTGACGCTCCGACATACTCGCTTCGATCAAAGCATGCGTCAAACGCTGTCAGCTTTGGTCCAGGAAAGACCTGCTTACTCTTGATTTCTCGACCTGCAGGAACGAATCCGGCCACAAGTGAAGTTGCCCAAATCTTGTTGACATGAAGGCGTCCAATGAGTTCCAATGGCACCCTACCGGCCCTACCCTTCTTTTGCGAGCGCGTCATCGCTTCCTCATCAGCTAGGCCAAGAGTGGATGTGATCACACCTACGTCGTAGACCCCAGCAGCTACGCGGAAGTTGTGACCCGCTTCGGCGTGGATAACTTTGGAAAAATTGGAGGCCAGTCGCTATCTTGGAAAACCGATTTAGACAGAATGCTTCGATTCGTTCATTTTCATCCATTCTCCACCTGAAAGGCCAAGGCCTTGTGTACAGGTCCCACTGCCACCGGTCCTGTATTTTCAACGTGGGTGCCTCATGTCCGACCGTCCGACCGTCCGTGTTGCTGCTTTCGTGTCCCTTTCGCTGCAAGGCCGGTGTTTGTTGAACCAGATTGGCATCGGACGCCTAGAGGAGCGAACGAGCCGAGCGCCACCAGCCGAGCACCGCGCCTGAGTACGGTCAGTGGAAGTTGGGATTTTCGTCGTCTTTGTGCAACAAGGACTTGGGCTCGCTTGGGCTTGGGCCTCCAGGGGTGTGGATTGTGATTGTTGATAGAGCAAACAGGTCCTCAGGCACACCACCGGCACGCCGTCGCAGAGCCAGGAGCGATGGGCCGCGGAGGTTCGGGAGTTTCTCACTGCTTGGCAAGGACGGGGCCACCAGAGAAAAAAGACATGGGCATCAGAAGAAACACTTGGAAAAGCTAGACAAAAGATTAGGTTTTGAAGCTAGACATGTCAAATCAACTCTCAGATTCAGCACATAAGAAGACCATGAAATGCCTCTGTGGGAGGTGTTGCTAATTCCTCAATGGACTGGAAGGCAAGGAGTTTGGGCGGGCGGTGAGAACTTCTTTTTCCATGAGAACTGCGTTTGGACATGCTTCCGTTGCGTCCGTTGATCCTGTGGTGCGCTTGCGCAAAATCAACCGATCTGATCCACCGGGTGGAGCGTTTTTCATCGTTTTTCTCGCCCCAAGCCGACTCGGCCGTCGCTTCGCCGCTCGGTTTGGAGGCTCCAGCCGCTCATCGGCGCATCTATGCCTTTGTGCCTCGGTCGGCTCGAAAAACTGCCAGACGCGAGCGAGTACAGTATATGGAGCAGGTCCAAACGAAGCTGTCCATCACCCTGACGAACTGCGCGTTGTTTCGCGCCCGTGTGGTCGGGCTCTGGGGAGTGTGGCCGGTGTCTATTCAAAACCCAACAAGAACCATCAACGAGATGATGTGCCCAGTGGGTCAACAACCTGTTAGGTCTTGATGGTCTTGGAAGTTGGGAGGTGAAACGGGTACTTTACCTGAACATGCCATGTGTCCAACCTGTCCAACCTGGACTTGCCGGACATCGTTTCGAACAAAAGACCGCCTTGTGTCAACATCGGTGTAGGCTTTGGATGAGTTGTCGACTGGTCAATGGGGTCTCTGTAACGCGACGCACGCAAGCTTGAGGGACTAGAAAGGTGCCAATTCATGGCTCATGATGCTCATCTGCTTGAACGAGATTGAGGTAGTCGCATGAGTGCACTCAACGGTCGTCGCATGGCTGATCATGGCTGTTGGGGTGTATGAATAGCTGGTGCCTGGTGCTTACTTCTATAATCTTCTATAGCCTATAGCGCTTCTTGTGGCTTCGTAAGTGAACACGTAGTCCGCTTTCCCCACTCACCGATTTCCCGCCCGTGGTCCGCCCACGTGCACCCACGTGGGCGCGCGCGTGCGTGTTCTCCTGGCGCGCTCGCGTGTTCAAGGCGGAGTTCCACTTCACCAGTCGCATGGAGCCGGGGAGGATTTTGCTGGAAGGCCCCTCGCGGGGGGATCTGGTGGTTTGAGACTTGGTTCGTGGGAGACTCTGTAGGGCCAGGCTGCCATGGCTGCCATGGCTCGGGTCAATGACCTGGCCAACATGTCAATTGAAGCTACCTAGACGAGCCTATCGCTCAGAGCAAGCCATGCGGCATGCTACCTTTAGCGAGTTGAAACAAGTTGAACTGAGTCAGAGTTTTTCGAAAAATCCGGTTGAACTCGGTTACGCTGAGTAGTTGAATTTCAGTTGACTTTTTGGATCACCGCAGGCTACACAGGTGCACTTTCCACACCTTTTATGCGCGCCAGGAACACTCTTTCAGCTCAATGGACTTTGGGGAGATCCGGTGCAACGCGGATGCGTTTGGGACGTCAGCTTCGGTAGGCTTTTGTGGGCTTAATGAGACCGAGAAGTGAGTGCGTGTTTTTATATTTTGTTCACAACCGCCACTTCTGTATATGCTTCTCCAAGTGTTTGAATCGCGTCCAAATACACTTTGACTGATCAGATCTGAGCAGAACCACCTGATCCTTAGCAAAACGCCTGGCAACGTGATGTTCGGATGTCAGGCAAGCTCGAAAGCCTTGGCTTTATGCTGGTGCCTAAGGAATCCGACGCGTCTGTTTACAGAACAGACATGGGCTGTGCTCTTGCGTCATGCAGAGCCGTTCGGTTTTCCCGTTTGCGAAGCGCTTGGGGGCTTGTTTCTCCGAAAGCCAACGGCTCCAGCTGCAGGGCCCAGGGCGAATGAAGGCCCTGCCTTTTCCAGACTTCGTCCACTTCCGAGTGACGAATCGTTTCACTCCGACTCCACCATGAAATGGCTACATTGGAGTCTTTGTATTCTCTTCAGGCCAGTGTTGGAGCTTCAGGGGAGCTTCAGGTGTAGAGTGGGGAGTGCTTCACGTGCAAGGGTTTCCTGGTGGGTTTCTTATTGTGGCAGTGGCCGTGAAGTCCTTGTCACAGAAGGGAGATCATCCGACACTAGGACTTAAGACTTCATGCTTTTGGCTCAACCTTCAAGATTCACAAGAGGCATGGATCAATATCCAATTTGGCCATCAGGCCAAAGAACACAACATCCTTCCATTGTTTTTCCACTCTCCGACTTTTGATAGCGCTTGCTGCGCACCCCATTAATTTGGAAAAACCATCAACCAACGAAACATCAGGACAAAGCCAGGGAGAAAAAACGAAGAACACACAGCGCGCTGGTTGAACCGGTTTTAACGGTCCAACACTCCGTCCTCAGTCGCTCCGGTTTCACACCACCTCCGGTGTTTCCGTCCTCGGTCTCCCCGGCGGCCTCGGGGAGACCGCGGTCTTCGCAGGTGGACCGAGGCCTCGGTCTTTCGGCCCAACGGCGACGCGGCGGCCTGGCTGCTGTGGAACCATCCCACGGCCGCTGGACCGCGAGTTGAGCGGTAGCCGTCCTGAAGTGGCCATCACAAGCGGTGCATGAAACCTGGGAAGTTTCACCGTTATTTTTTTAAAATTGGATTCGAAAAGGAACACGAAAAGCAGTGATGCTTTCTCAAACCTGGATGTGGATGAGGGTTTAGCCCCGGCAATCCGTCAACCTTCTCCGCTTTCAGAGCTGTGTGATGGTCATTTTTTTTCCGTTCATGACGTTCCTGGGTGTTCACCTGGCAGACACGAAAAAAGGTAGCAGCAGCAGATGCTTTAAAAATGCCGTACCATGCCATACCCCAATGTCCCATATCCTTTCATGGAACAATCGTTGTGTTGCACATGGAACAATCCTCTGATCATGCCTTTTGACTGAGGCCATTTTTGATCCTCCATACTGCGCTGTGTCGCAACTTGCCGACAAAGGAGGTGACTGTTGGAAGGGGATTGTTGTTTGAAGACCAACCTCTCCAGTTGTTCCTATATAAGTTGGTGCAGGCGTGCACAGCCTCGTGGTGGCCTGGTTGGAACTGAGTCCAACACCTGGTTGAAAGTGCTTGGAAGAGGCTATGAAGTATGGAATTCTTTGAAATTCGCGAGGGGCAGACCAAACCATCACTGTGTCAGCGATCATAAGCTCCAAATAGAATTGTGCGCAATCCTTCCTTGTATTTTCTGTCAAGAAACGGTCCCACAGAATCATGAAAGCATTGTTCTTGTAGTAGTGGTGAGCTGCTGAAGCTCACAAGGAAGACCCTTTGACTCAAGGGTGTACTTTAAAAAAAATGTTCAAATTGTTGTATCAAAACCTTATGTCGAAACTTCCAATGCGACGGTCTTGGGGGTTCCTTTTTAGTCACACTACTGTTCTGCATGTCAGGAAAGCAGGAAAGAGGTGTCACTGCTCATAGAGGTTTTGTATACGTAGTTTTAGTATTTTGTAAACTGGTGCTGGTGGTGGTCGTCGGCGTCGCAGTCGCAGTCGCATTCGGACTCTTCGTGGTGGTGGTGGTGGTGGTGGTGCTCCTCGTCGTCGTCGTCGTCGTCGTCGTCGTCGTCGTAGTAGTAGTAGTAGTTGTTGTTAATGTTGTTGTTGCTGCAGTAGTATCCAAAAGCACGAATGCTCAGGCCGCCTGCAACTAAGTCAGGTACTCGTAAGATCAGGTAAGTAAGTATTGAAGTAAAGCAAAGTAAAGTAAGTAAGATGTGGTAAAGGGCTAAGGTAAGGTAAGGTAAGGTAAGGTATGGAAATAAGTTATATAAGCAAGCACACGAGCCAGTCAGGAAGTAAGGAAGAAAGGAAGATACGAATTCGTATCACTATTTTTACTTCCAAAAGCTTCAAGTCGTAGCGGCCAAGAAGTAATTAGTGGCCGGTCGTCATTTGATCTCGAGGATCGACCCTTTTTCGAGTCGAGAACCGGGAGCCGATGAATGGAAAATGAATCGAAGCTCTTCGAATCTGACTCGCGGAGCTCATCTCTGAGAGAAAACAAAAAGAGCTTACTATGAATCGTCTTATGTGACGATCCTCCAATATGTAGCCGAAAGTCCAATCGAAAACGCATCGAGAATCGCGACGCGGTTTCTTTGGATCAGCGCGTCGAGGATCGATGGAGAGCCGTGAAACGAGAATCAGAATCGGCTCGCTCCGTGGGTCGAGGATCGAGGATCGGATCGAGGATCGAATAGGACGGTTCAACATGGTAAAACAAACGCCAGCAGGGCAGGACAGGACAGCAGATTTCGCAGCCCCCAACGCCGGGTGAACCAGGGGCTTTCCGCAACTCAGACAGTCTTTTCTACGTGATCACATGTGATCACAACATTGCACCATTGCGTAGGGCTTTACGTGGCAACACTTCCCACCAAGTTGTGGGAAGCCACGGGTCAACCGTGCTGTTTGTTGCCACAATGCCTTGGCCAGGAAGATCTCTTTCAGGTATGCAAAACCATTGAAGTACGTTTGAGAGTGTTTCTACTACCCAGTTGCTCCCGGCCAAAACCATTTGCCCAACGGCCTTCCCATTTGTCCCAACGGTCACCCTGTCCACCAGGCGGTTCACTTCTGAGGACCACCATGGTGATCAATGACATTGTGTTGTCGGCGCAGGATGTCCGGGTCTTGGGCATGCCACTGCTGCCTGGGGGTAAAAGGCACCGAGTGGAATGAAAGGCACCGATCTCACTTACTTGTTTTGCTTGGTTTTCATCTTGCACACACAAACACAAGCACATGCATGACAAACACATGCAAACACACTTCCTTTTGTTCTCCATCTTTCCATATTTTGAACCAACTGTGCTTGAAGGTTCTTATGCAATCTTTCACAGGGCTTTATGCTCCAATCCATCATCCCAGGTGGTCGCAATGACAGGCGATTGCATGGGTGATCTGGAATCTCCACCTGACTGTGCTGCAGATATTACGGACTTTATAGACTCTTGGCACGGACTGCTGGGCGAAACACTGGTGTCCATGGAGTGAGGGAGTGTCCGGTTCCGGCTCACTGGTGTCCAAGCGCCAGACCAGCTAACAACAGAACCAAAAAGATCAACCTTGAAACCAAGGCATCGTCCATATTTGTGCACGAAGCAGGTCCTTGTGTAGGGTGACCAGTGCAACAATTGGGTGAACGTCCCGTTGCTCCTGGTGATGTGAACGACGCTGACGAGGCCAATATTTTAGATGCAGCACAGGGCGCGGCTGCCATGGCCACAGCGTGTGCTGGCGAAATCAGCGACTGTGAAGCTTGGTGACCGGCCGAAAGCGCAGGAATGAACAGCTCGATGGTATTCCCCAAACTGAGAAAAGCTACCCCTGCGAGAAACCAATGACTTCTGGATGTTGCTTCTGGATGTTTCGGGGTTCTGGGCAGGCAATCCTGGTGGTGTGGAGTGTGGACATTCATTTTCTTGGGAGATACAACATCTCTCCATCTCTCCAAACCATTCTGTCAGTTGAAGGACACTTCAGAGGTAGCACCTCGTCTAAGGTTCACGTGGAATTCAGACAGCTCCAGTTTACCACAAAAGTTATCTCCTTTGGCACCCTGTTTTCGGGTTCTGGCAGGACGTTTTTGAAGCCTGTTTCATGGGCTCAAAAAGTGGCAGTCCATCACCTTCAAACATCCTCAAACTTTTCCAAACGCAGTTTCTTGTCCAGCTGAGAGCAGTTTCCATCTGACAAAAAACAGGTACACGTTGATGTTGAATGTGCTTAATATGTTTGGCAGAGACAACCCTTGTGTTTTGTTGGGAGCAGACAAACAGATACAAAACGTACATCAAGCATCATCGAGCCTCCTATATAACAAAACCTAAGTTCAATGCCAATATGGCAATTTGATCGTAGTTGGCAGTTGGTGTCAGTGTTTGCCATCGTTTGAGCCGAAATAGATAGGTTCAAAATGCGAATTCAGATTAGTTCCAACCTAGAGGACAAGAAGCCCCCTTTAAGGTGACACCGTGCCGTTGAGCCGCTTTCCCACTGCTTGAGCCTTCACTCTGGCTGTTTAAGACCAAAGTCTTCAATGTTTGCAGTTTTGATGAACTTGAACTCGGCATCCATCAGGAACAATTGGCCACTTGGCAGAAACCGATTGGAAGACTTGCCGAAAGGTCCCGTGAGTGCGGAGGTCGTTTTTGGGTGTGTTCGGTCAAACGAGTGTAAGTGACAAGGGATTTTTCCAAGTGGGTCGAAAAGGAAGATCTAAATCTAGATGGGCACATGAAGCAAATGATGCTAGAACGCTTCATATATGCCCCTTGATCAAGAAGTGAGTCTTGACACGCTCGTGCACCGGTCCAAAACTCCTTCCGCCGGTCCACGAGTGTAGGTTTACATGACAGGTCTCGCTGTTCACAGACGGTGTCATCCCAGTAGGTATCGAATGGTATGGAACTGCTATGATGTGAATATATTTCTTTTCAAGCACGACCATGGTATGGTATGGAACTCTATCACCTCCACATGGTTTTGATCATTGGAATGGGAGCAAAAGAATCACTCCTTCATTCAACTCAACAGCCCCCATGGAGATCAACCTGAATAGCACATCTTGGTGCATCAAGTCCCGACCTCTTCGTCCCACTCCGAACCGGTCCCGACCTTCGATGGACCGACCACTGAGACGATCGATGCGGCAGAGATGTTCACCACCTTGGCGTCATACCTGGTGGGCGCATCGGTCCTCCTCTTAGTGGGCGCATTCACCGGATGCGCGTCGGCTACGCCGGCGTGTCGGCGTTTCGGCGTTTCGGCGTGGCGTGGCTCGGGGGCGCAGTGTGGAAGAGCGAGCTGGGCGGGGTGGCATGGACAAGTCACCTCGTTTTTGCTCGTTTCTGTACCCTTTCCCAGTAAATCTCCCCATATGACATATTCATTTTCACCGTTTCCTTCAGCAAACTCCCAGACCTCAAGGGCGCGACACGCAAAAACGACTTAGAACCTGAACGCGCGCACTCGCAGGGTTTCCGAAGTCTCCAAACTTGAATCTGTTCAGCTTCCAAACCTACAAAGCAGAGCCTTAGCGAAACTGCAGAACTGAGTGCTAGCTGACTAGGTTGGTCCATGCATCTCTTTATTGGTTACGAAGCAACCCCAAGCTGAGTCTGACTGGGTGCCCAGTTTTTCTTCAAACAGTGTGGCCACTCTGGGGGTTCTTATATGCGAGTTCGAACTTGAGAAAATGTAAGGTCTCCGAGTCGAGCACACGAGTTCGACCCATCCACCTGTCATGCCCAGCAAAACGGTTTCGGTATCACTGACGGCTGGCTGAGACCAACTGCGACGTTGATGCCTTCTTGTGTGTCTTGTCATGCACAAGCCGAGGGAAAGTGGCATTAGGACACGAAGATCTTGCACATGTTGCAAGAAATGAATCAATGCAACACTCATGTGACTCATGTGATCATGTAGTTATGTGGGCCAAACGCCACAATGCCAAAGCTGACATTAGCGGGGCTTACTTTAGATGGAATGAATCAAAATCAATTCAAAACGGTCAACCTTCTTTGACGACTCGTTGTGCAGAATTCGACGACTCGCCCCCTTCCATTGGCAGAATTCTTTCGTCGCGTCGGGTCCATGCGACCCGGTTGTTAAGCTGCAGGTACCATCAACTTGGTTGATTCCATTAAGGTCATCTTTGGCGCGGCCACGGACCGAGTCGTGAACCACGGATCCGTGCTTGGATGTGCTTGGTCACCCACGGATCCGTCGTTGAGAAGTCGGTTTGGGAGTCGTCCATGTGTCGTTCCGTCCCCCCCCCCGGTGACAGGAATGGTGACAGCAAATTGGAGCAAATTCGTCGATTCCTTGGTGTTCTCTCTGTCTTTTGGCATGGTGGTTGCAGTGTTTGAAGCCCTAAAACGGCACTGGTGTGGAATTCTCTTGAAAGTAGATGTCAGTCAGCTTTAAAGGTTGGAAACGGCATCAAAGATATCGGGCGTTTCAATGCAATGCAGAGAACGACTTTTGATCGAGTGTGGCCGCATTGAAACCTTTGCAGAGTCGGAATTTGACACGTTTTCCTGCGCCAGGACATTCAATCTGCAGTCGATACCTGTCCCAAGGACAGCGCTCTGATGAAATATATCAAGACCTACGGTCAGATGCTCAATGCTCATCATCAGTCGTAGCAAACTCCTTGTTCAGTCACCTCCTAAGAAATCTGACAATGAACCGTAGAAAGACTAGCCGCATCACTTGGGACCAACCTTTCTCTGGATTTGCTTTTATAGTCTGTCCGCCGTACTGTCTAGAAGGAAAGACCCTGTGGCCCAAACCGGAGAAAGGAACAAACACGATGTGGCCCAACCAGTCCTCGGCTCGGAGTCGAAGCGAACCAGCAGCGACTGAGCCTATCCTGACTGGCATGGTTGGGAATGGATCTCCCGTCGACTAACTGCAGGCTGGCACGGGGGGGGTTTCGACACGTCGATCTGGTCCGACCGACCATCCAGGTCCCCTTCCAGGTCCCCGACTAAAGCGGACGCACACTTGCAAGTCGAAGTAAGGTTGACAGATTCTGGAAATGCTTATGATCATGAGCTGACACTTGAGGGCTGATTGTGTTACGGTATATAGTTTGATGTGATAGAATCAACACATCCCCAGACATTGTGGACATCATGTCGGTCACGTGTTCAGTGCGCAGATTCTTCATCCGCGAGGCAGAATGAATGCAACCAGTGATGCTGCTTGGCACAGGGGATCCCCGGACCCCCAATCTGCGGCTTCTTTGCCGGAGCGAAAGTAGCGTATTGCTGTAAGAAGATCTGAGCAATGAGTACAACGGAGGCTCGTTTTAACACTGTCGCAAAAGGCCTTTTGGATGTTTTTTGGATTTGTTTGGATATCTTTGGATAGAGTTTCACATTTGTCTCCCGCTGCATGCCTTCGAATTCTCGTTTGCCGCGTTGCATGTGGATTTTTAGGCCAATTGGGCATCAAGTTCATGCATATAAACACAACGAGTGAACAAGTAATCGATTGGCAGCTAGGTAGTTTGTTCATTTGGGACTGCTCACTCGGCATCGCAGTCGCTTCACGATCGATCGCACGATGCCGCGATGCGTCGCGTTTGCTGAGGGTCTCAACGCTCGAGGGGAAGACACACCTGTGTGACCTGGCAGGAGTTGCCGTTAGAAGACACGAACCGTGTGTCCAAACAACCGATGGGTTTGCCGAAAGAAGAACCATGTTGGCCGTTTGGGTTTAGATGTTTTTTAGATGTTTGCTAAGGTCTTTTGCCATCTACCTTTCCCATTTCCATGATGAGACACTGTTGGAAGAATCTGCGTAATCGAGTTCGTCATCTCTGATGCAATCACCCAGCTTCACTGAACTTCCACATGAGAAACGCTGCCACCACCGAAACGCGCGGCCAGTGACCGAACCGGTGATCGTCCGAGGCCGAGGAGGATGGGCATTGTAGATGAAACCGTTCCAGGCGGGAGAGGTTCACGTCAAGTTCTGACGTGACGTGACCAAGAATCACGTGTATATGTATCAGACGTGTTGGCTTCGATCATGTGTTTGGTGATGTTTGGTACCCTTGGTCGTTGGATCAGTCCAGTCGTCTCGTTGGACCTTGGAATTCTTTGGAGGACCTATCATTGCAGCGGATGACCCCGGGTTGGTCCGCGTGGGCAGTGGCTCAGCGAGAGGGGGCGAGCGTGACGCTTTTGCGTCCGTGTTGGGATGGTGATGAATGTGCCGGAAGTCCTGAATCACAATGACACATTGTGAAACCAACAACTTGCAAACACCCCCAAAGATGAACGTGAAACATGTGGATGAACGTGCTGGTTGGCCCCAATAGAGGTGGTTTTTAGGTGCCCCGTGAATCTTGATGAGTGTATCCATTCGTGAAACCTAAAACGGTCTCTCGAGCACATTTGGGCGTGGGGAATGTGTTCGACATGCCCCAAGAGTCAAGAAGAGTCACAGAACCATTGGTATGCTTTTTGCTGGCCTATTAAACCTGCCGTGTGTTTTCAACCACAGATCAACCACCTTGTCAATGTTTCTTCCTCTTTGGGTGGCGTCTCGCTTGATGCATCCTCTCACAGCAAACTCGGAAACGCCCGCAGGTTCGGTCCCGAAGGTCCGACAGCGGAGACCAGAACCTTTTGTTTTAGCAACATGATGAAACATAACATGTTCCTTTTGTGGATAAAGCCGTTGGGAAAGTTGCGTTGCTTTTCTGTTTGGATCTTTTGTTGGACTTCTTATGCTGCGTGCTGAGGCGCCATTGCAGTTCCACGCAGCGAGCAACTGCGGGGACCTCAGATGTTCCCCCGCAAAAAGAATGGATCAACACTCCTGCTCGGTGCTGGTGCATGGATGGATGTCTGCTACTTCTCGAGTTTGCAAAAAAGAGCTTTTCTTTCGCAAAGGACAAGCGCCAGTTGAAGACAAGCTCCCCTGAAAGTTAAGCAAGCTTCGTAGAAGCTAAATTGAATGCTTTTCTTTTCTTAACTTGCAACATTGCCATGTTTGTGAAAAGGAGTTTGGGCAGCCCACACATCCAAGACATGACAAGCAGGCTAATTCATTGTATGACAAGCCTTAAACTTCTGCATGTACCCGCAAAAAGCAGACAACCATGTACAAGTGTAAGTGTCTGACAAGAACGGAATCAGATCATGAACATTTTGTCCCACAAGACGTTAGATGGCTCGTTCTTTGCATAAGGGATGAGATGGGGTGTAGACCACATGGAAAAAGCAAGAGGGAAACCAACCTGCAACTTGCCCTATAGCCCTAATTACAGATAGACGAAACAAAGAATCTCTTTTTTGCCCTGGGCTCCAAAGACGCACCGCGGAGGCTTCGGATCAGCCAGAAGGGTGCTCGAAGACTGGCCGAGCTCGAGGCTGCTTAAAGATGTTCAGCTCGAAATCGACGCACAGGTCATTTTGACTCTGTTTTTTGCTCTTGAGTGCATTTTCAGAACAGTTCAGAACACTGCCCATCGCCTTCATGTGCATTTCTGGTCCGACTGGAGGCCGTTGAGGTGCCAACGTTGCAAGATGTGGACATTGCTACTTGGAAGAACACGGGTGACACGGTTGGAGTCTTTCAGGAGTTTGCTTGCATCCGTGCACATCCCTGCACCTGGATGTTTAATGATTTCAAAATTGAATAGACGGCCACGATCTTTTTCTGTGGAGTTCCTTTGAGTATGACAACTACAAGGAGGTTTCTGAAATTCTACTGCGGTCCAAATTGGACTCTTTGCTTCGTGATGCAGGCACCCCGACACGATTTTCGGGAGGTCATGATTTTCTTCATGAGTTGCAGATGCAGAGCTCCACCCAATCGAAGAAGTTGGTCTTTCTCTCCGCCACAAGACTCAGTAGGACCCTATCATCAAGCATGCCTACTTGTGCTCCTCAATACTTGATATATCACATCCTGCAGATGCGTGCTCGAGGATGGAATTTGCATCAGAAAACAACGATGGCATAGTGAGCCGCATAGACATTCAGACATGAGTGCAGTGGAGGGATTGGGAAACGAGCCCATTTTCCTCCATGGCCAAGGATGTTTGGCATCTTCTTGATTATCAGCAGGCGCAGAAGACAGCTTGCTGAGACCTGCTTGCACTCTGTAGCTTTGTTCTCCTTGGTGAATGTTGGCACTGAGTTAGTGAGATCCAAGCCGTTATTGTCGCATGTCGTACTTTTGATCATAAAATATCCATAGGCGACTACCTGACCCTTCCATCCCACAAAAAGGGATCTTCGAGACAGACAGAGATCCCAAGAGCTGGACTCCCGATCCAAAGGGTTCGGTCAGACTTGCCAGGAGATGCACGGGGAGATGGCCTTTGAGTAGAAGATTTCGTGTAGATGCCACCCAAAGTTCACGCCTTTCCCGCCTTTCCTTGTTGCAGCGACCGCTGTCGGATTTGCAGAACCTTTTTCCGGTTTGTCAGATTTCCAGTTCTGGTCGTTACAGCGTTACACCTCGTCGGCAAATAGCCATAGCCCACGCAGACGGCCCGCGGATCCCGCGCATGTCGAGCAGATTGGAGCAAAAACGTCTTGAAAACGTGTTTTTTCGCCTTTGACGAAATCACCTGGTAGACGAGAAAGGCGCGCGATCGGCAGCACCAAAGACCGCCCCAGGGATCGGGGATCCGTTGAAAACGGATCCACGATCCCAGGGGCTTCCGGTCGCGTACGGACCGTCGCCCGACGGTTGGAAAAGGACGCTTCGGATGATTCGATGATTGGTGCAGATGCCAAGACCTTTGAGCAATCGAAGAAAGATAAGCAATCGCATTGTGTAGCGCTCCTAGCTGACCTTTCAACGCATGGTGGCATTGTGGATTTCCCGAGGCAATTTTCCCGAATGCGTAGCGAAGGGTTCTCGTTTAACTCTGGGGGTAGAGCCTTGTTCGCGACGTGTTGTTTCAGCATCCGCAACCGTCCGCAACCGTTCGCAACCGTCCGCAACCGTTCGCAACCGTCCGCAACCGTTCGCAACCGTCCGCAACCGTCCGCCGCCGTTCGCAGTAGGGCGCTAAGGCGCTGCCATTGGGGAAAGCTTTTGGAGAGGGTTTCGGATGAAAACGTGACGTGTCAGATTGGTGTGAAATAGCGTGGAAACGTTTGGAAGTGTAAGATGTTGAAGTATGGAGGTTGAGCTCACTGCGCAGGCACAGCGTTTTGTGAGGTCCGCAGTTTTCTGCGCAGTTCCATTAGCGTTTGGAGAGTCGTGTTTTTGGGGTGTTGGGTGTGGCCGTGCCATTATAGGATTTGCGTTTCAGGATATCCCAGCCAAGCTCTGTTTTCGTGATAAGTCTCAGCTGAAATGGCGATTTTGGTGGATGGGAGCGTGCTCAGGACGGGTCGAAATCATTCCAAACGTGTGGTGTGGGGCAATTTTTGTTGAAGCTCACATGAGATGATATTGTCACTTTTCGTGGCAGGCGCAGCTGCGGGCTTTGAGGTGCGGAAGTGCGATTTTCGTGGCAGGCGCAGGGAAGCGTGAGGTTGCGAGGTGTGACGGAGGTGACATTTCATGGCAGGCGCAGTACTTTGCGCGCGACAGACATGGGGACGCGGAAAGATTCGTGGCAGGCGCAGGGAATTGTGAGGTTGTGCGTTGTGGTAGAGGTGAATGTCGCTGTGACATTGGGATTGGCGTGTGAGCGAGTGTTGTTTGGAGGGGCCGGAATCGCGAAACTGCTTGGCAGGGTGTGTGCTCCGATGGGTGTTTCCGGCTGATTTGTGGAGGAAGTCTCGTACGAAACGCTCGTTTTGGAGACTTGATGTGTGACTTTTTGAGGAAGTCTCACGCGAAACGCTTGTTTTGGAGACTTGACGTGTGACTTTTGGAGGAAGTCTTGTACGAAGCGCTCGCTTTGGAGACTGTAGGCATGACTTTTGGAGAACTTTATGTACGAAACGCTTGTATAGGAAGACCGTGTGGAGAAATTACGTTTGTGATGTTGTATTGCCATTGGGATTTGCGCGGCCTGGGTGGGAAGTGCGTTTGCGTGGCGCCGCTGGAGAGCGCGAAACATGCTGGTGTAAACGCGGCGTGTCGCTGGTGAGCGGGATGAGTGGCAGTATCATGTGGCCCTCCAGACGGGGGGTTCTCCGAGAGGTTCATGTCTCCGAGACTGAGAGGTTCATGTAAAGTTTTCGATGTCGCTCGATGTTCGGGGGGGTGGGCAGGGGGGGGTCTTAGCGCACGAACATGGTTTGATGTTATGTTTCTTTCCTGTGAAGTTGATGTCCGGGTGGGGGGTTATGGATATGTTTGTTTTATGGAGATGATTTCGGATCAAGACTTTTCAGGTTGCTCTTGCTTTTTCTTACGCTTTGTTGCTTCGCATCGCTGGCTGCGGTCTCCCTTTGACTTGTGTTCGTCTCAAACATTTGTTTCCATTCAACCCCTTGGCTGACGACATCGTTTCCTTTGTTCGTTCTTGTGCTTTGATTCCTGATCGTCATTGGTTTGATCCTTCCGAGGTTGCTGCTCACTCGTGTTTGTTGGCTGATGCATGGTTGAGACACACTGCCGGAAAGCAACTTTCACAAACATTGTTGGCTTCTGCGTTTGTTCTTTCTCGACGTTTGTTGCAAATGCGTGAGTTGCCTCTAGCAAGCCATGTTGCTGAAGCCGTGGTGACACCTTGGTGGCACGTTTTTCACATTTTTGGCAGGTTCCTGGGACAATGTCTCAAACCTGGAAACCTGCTCCTCAGGCAGTTTCACTCGGATCGGGTTTTGGGAAACTAAAAAAAGCATTGCGTGCAAAGTCAACTTGCGCGAACAAAAACGAAATATGTTCCCAATCTTGTACTTTCAAAAGAACCACAATTCATGGCAAAACAAATGCCGAACCCCAGCAGGTTGAAGGTTCACTGCAGTTGTGAAACCTTGAACAGATGATGCAGCTCGGGGAACCCCCGTCTCCACCGTCGTGTGATATGTTTGCTTTTTGTGTGTGGTGGACCGTGTGTTGCGAAATTACGTTCGTGATGTCGCAGTGCCATGCGGATTTGCGCGGCCTCGGTGGGAAGTGCGTTTGCGTGGCACCGGGGAGCGCGAAACATGCTGGTGTAAACGCGGCGTGTCTCTGGTGAGCGGGATGATTGGTGGTATCGTGTGGTATGTTAGCTTTCAGTGACCAGTGTGTGGGCAGACCGTGTGGCGAAATTACGTTTGTGATGTTGTATTGCCATTGGGATTTGCGCGGCCTGGGTGGGAAGTGCGTTTGCGTGGCGCCGCTGGAGAGCGCGAAACATGCTGGTGTAAACGCGGCGTGTCGCTGGTGAGCGGGATGGTGGTATCGTGTGGTATGTTAACTTTCAGTGACCAGTGTGTGGGCAGACCGTGTGGCGAAATTACGTTCGTGATGTAGCAGTGCCATTGGGATCTGCGAACAGATTTCTGCGACATCTGGGCTCTTTCACTGGACGAGGTCGCCATTCCCACGGCGCAATTTTTCCGAGAACATGGGGCTCTGCGTGCGTTTGCTGCCGAAGCTGGTGGGGGCGGCGATAGCTTCTTCTTGTCCACTGCGGTCGCGCTGATGCAGGCGCGAGCCGTCCACCCACGACTCTTGAACCTTTTCACTTCTGACGACGTGGTGGACTGGCGACCGAGTCACGGTCGCGGCTGCTCTCCGCAAAATTCGGGCGACGCATTGCGTGCCAAGACACCAAATTGGCATTCTTGGACTTCGTCACCGGATGCTTGACGAGACTCCTTTTGCTTTGGCGCCAATGATATCCTGGAGCAGAAGTGGTGGACGGCGCCATGCTAGTTCAGGAGCAAGAGAGTGCTTGCGTTCTGGCGCTGCGGCCCTGGTGTCTCTGCAGCGTGACGTGGGCGCTTCTCTGGAGACTTGCGGCAATACTCATTGGGCGACAGACGTCGACGTACGTTGTTGCTTTGGCCACAGAGCTCAATCTTGGCTTCATCATTGTTGGAAATACTTGTAATTCATCTTCTCATGAAAAGAAAAAAGAAAGACCCATGAGAATGTTGGAAAATTAAGTGATCTAGGACAGTTCTAGCCACTTCCGTTGTGCGTGTGTATTACTTGCTTCTTGTTGATGCAGGTGAGACGCAACAACGCACGGTCTTGCACTCCTACTTACAAGAAGACCAGACGCCGCAGTTGTGGATTTCTCTGTATTACGTGGGCGGCTACCATTTCCAAGTGCTTATTATCGAGATTTTGGGACAATGCCATTGTTTCTTTCGTGATGTGGATCTGCCACAACCTTTACGCCAGTGCTTGATTTTAATGCAAGACGAAGACCCTTCATGAAAGAGCTTGGTGGTGAAGTCCCCAGCACATGCTGCCTTGGTGGTGGAGTGCCTGGCACAATTCGCTTGCTCATGTGGCTAGCCAGCCTTGCGTTACCGAGCCGGAGTGTGAAAAAAAGGGGTTTGGCCGGCTGCGTCTCTTTCTGTACACAGTAGATCGACATACGTGTTTGCATTCGGGTTCGTGGGCTCCATTTTGTTTTTTGAAAGGCTCTGAAGATCAAGAGGGCCCATCACACCGAGGCTGTACCTCTTCCCATCAGCAAATGGGTGGACAGGACACATGTAGCTTGCTGCCTTCTCTTCCGGCTTTCTATGAGCGCGTGGGCTCCAACACAATCCAAGTTTCCGCCTTCGCAACTTAGGAATCTAGGAGCTTAACAAAGACATTCAACGATGACTGCGAAAAAATGAACAGGTGTTCACAGCACTTTCTCCTCCAGGACTCTCTGCGCAGAGTTTCAGCTTCTCAGCGAGGCCCCTGTCGTTCTACATCCAGTGAATACAGATAGAATCAGGACAAGTTCATTGAAACGTGCCATAGGCGCAAACCTGATTGGACCGAGCTGCCCGCGCTGGCCCGGGTGCTGCTTCGGTGCCAGGTCTGCGACATGCTTCATCGGTCTGGCGTCTCGATGACTTGTCCTGAGCCAGAGCCTGAAGAGCTTGATAGGAAGAGAGGGGTCTTTAGTACATCAGTCGAAATTACTTTACTTCGAGTGATCCCCACCATGACATTTCAATCTTTTGTCTTGATGCCATAGTGAGGAGCATGTTGCCATGGTCGTGAGTATTGTAGTTCTCGATTTTGCTTGTGGGTCCTCGGGTTGTGTGCTGTGGTTGTGGTTGTGTGCTGTGTTGTGGTTGTGGTTGTATGTTTGCGGTTGTGTTTGCAGTAGCAATAGTAGTGCACAGTTCGGGGCCCGACCTTCGGGGCCCGAACCTTGGAAACGTCCGGGGCCCTAGTAGTAGTAGTAGTAGTAGTAGTAGTAGTAGTAGTAGTAGTAGTAGTAGTAGTAGTCGTAGTAGTAGTAGTAGTGGTAACAGTAGTAGTCGTCGTAGTAGTAGTGTGGTAGTAGTAGCCATAGTAGTGCCCAGTTCGGGGCCCGAGCTTCGGGGCCCGAAACTTGGAAGCTTCCGGGGCTCTAGTAGTAGTAGTAGTAGTAGTAGTAGTAGTAGTAGTAGTCGTAGTCGTAGTGGTAGTAGTAGTAGTAGTAGTAGTAGTAGTAGTAGTAGTGGTAGTGGTAGTGGTAGTAGTGGTAGTAGTGGTGGTAGTGGTAGTGGTAGTGGTGTGTTTGTGGTTGTGTTTGTGGCTGTGTGTTTGTGATTGTGTTTGTGGTACTGGTAGTGGTTGTGATTGTGCATTTGTAGTTGTGGTTGTGGTTGTGTCTATGTGATTGTGTTTTTGTAGTTGTGGTTGTTGTTGTGGTTGTGTCTTTGTGATTGTGTGTTTGTAGTTGTGGTTGTGTGTTTGTGGTTGTGTTTGTTGTTGTTTGTGGTTGTGTATTTGTTGTTGTGTTTGTGGTTGTGTGTGTTGTTGTGTTTGTGGTTGTGTGTTTGTGGTTGCGTGTTTGTAGTTATGTGTTTGTGGTTGTGTGTTTGTAATTGAGTGTTTGTGGTTGTGTGCTGTGGTTGAGGCCCGGCAGGGAACACTGAGCGTGGATGGTCGTGGTTGAGGTCCGGCGGGAACAACTGGGCGCGGATGGTCGTGGTTGAGGTCCGGCAGAGAACACTGGGCGTGGAAGGTCGTGGTTGAGGTGCGGCGTTGAACACTGGGCGTGGATGGTCATGTTTGAGGTCCGGCAGGGAACACTGGGCGTGGATGGTCGTGGTTGAGGTCCGGCACGGAACACTGGGCGTGGATGGTCGCGGTTGAGGTCCGGCAGGGAACGCTGGGCGTGGATGGTCGTGGTTGAGGTCCGGCAGGGAACACTGGACGTGGATGGTCGTGGTTGAGGTCCGGCAGGGAACACTGGGCGTGGATGGTTGTGGTTGAGGTCCGGTGGAGGAGGCGGAGGAGGAGAAGGAGAAGGAGAAGAAGGAGAAGGACGTGGGGTTGACATAAAATCTAACAACCCTCACCTGACAGGTGGGGAAAAATGAATGTGCCTTCTGTGAAAAGATGCTGCCAGACGCGCACATTCACTCTGCCAGATTGGAGGTGTGTTGTACCATCCCGGATGTTGTGACACTCACCTGAGATGAACATGTGCAAAGAACTTTCGGATCTGCGTTGGAACGAACACGCATGCGCAGCACCATGCGCTGTGCTGCGCCAGGCTGCGCTATGCGGTTGAAGGATGTCTCAATCTGTACTTGTCGCAGCCTTCGTGTGTCTCTTGCATCGGCGTGACCGGCTTGGTTTTTCGTGTCAGTGGCTTGGTTTTTGCATAGGAAAGCAGCACATCAATCACTATACTGTAACTGGAATTTGGATTTGTTTGATTTGGGGGAGATTGATTTTGATTTGAAGGGACATGATTGGAAGACTGGGGTACTTCACTTGAAACCACTACAGGACGTGTTTGGGTGCAACTCGGCCAATACGTTGGACAGGTGCCATGAAGCAGTTCCAGACTTTGCTTCCAGGCTCAAAGGGCTTTGAAGGAAGAAAAGAGGCAGAGAGGGGGATAGTTTTTGGAAGAGAGAGAGGGAGAAAGAAGGGGCAAGACCTTGACCCGGCTTGGCCTGGTGCCTCCATGTTTCGCGACAGAATTGACTTGGGATGGGATGAGAAGGACCTTGCTCCATGGGCCAGGCGTCGACCTCTTCGTGGAATTTGGTAGTTTGGAGCCTTCGAACCAGTCGCTTGGAACTTGCTATGGCGAGGGTCACAGCTGGCGGTTGTACCGGGATACCGGGATACCCGTTGAGTATACCAGCACAACATTATGATTCGTTTCCTTTATAAAATGCAGTTTCCACCGCCCCAATTTATAAACCAAATAATAGTGAAATAGTGGGCATGCTCAAACAATGATCATTATATACGACAACATGATGTTTGTGCTTGGTCATATGGAACATTTCATTTAGCTAAGATGGAAACCCGAGACCATCATGTTATAAACAGAGCGAGCGGCCTTGTGACCAACCACAGGTTTGGCTTCATCTGGGATCTGCTCCACATTGGCGCAAACAAAGACCATGGCATCTTCCTCTTCTCCTTCTTCATCCGGCTCAGGGCACCACCAATAGATCCACAACAAGCAGGTGAGTTCCAAATCCATCTGCCGGGTCAGTTGGAAGTGAGCGACATATTCGTTGGTGCTCCCAGGAAGAAGACAAGGAGGAACACCTTCAATCCTCACCATGCAGGGACCCCGATAGGACAACCCACCCTCACCCATGGGTAGCTTCAATTCGCCATGATCACTGATGACTCCGACTTCCTTCCCATTCAAAGACACAGCGACCCCTGCAGCTCCAGCACTGCAACAAGGGGAGTGCACCCGAAGGAGTGGATCTTCAGCGGAGTCAGCGGATTCATCTTCCTGAGCCATCAAACACGCCAGCCACAGTGCAGGAACATCACCCGTGGCTAAGCGGGCCAAACGGAGAATGGAGCATTCGGTGTTTGCACAATGCAGAGCCACTTGCTGTGAGTGCCTGGAAGACGTTGGCAAGCACCAGTTGAACGTAGCGCCGCTTCAGAACAAATCAAAGACTCATCAGTGCCCTCTGAGGTCTTGGGCAAAGTCTTGGAACGCACCAAACAACAATATCTGCGGATCCAATGAAGTCAGGACGAGTCCTGCATGTTGGATGGTGGAATCTGTAAAGAACCAAGCCAAAACAACCAGCATGCTGTCAGGGGGAATGCTTAAGGCTTAAGATTCCGGGACACACCGAAAGGGTCTCTGGAACTTTGGAAACAAATCATTCTAAACAAGAGTTTTGCACAGGTCCAAGAAAACCAGTCCCCTGGGAGGACATTGAAAAGCTGCCAGATTCAAGTCACGCTGGCGACTGACACCCTTTATGCTCCGTAAAGCACACTTCTCTTCTTCACCTCCTTACAACCTACTTTCGCTACACGTGATCTCACACCCAGTCTTGCTCAACCATTGGCCTTCAGAGGCCTGCCCTTCTATGCCAGCTCTTGGCCCAGCCTCATCCGCAAACCGCCCAACAAACAACGCCGGAAACCCCGAAACATACCCCATGAATACCTGCTTGGAATTGTTCTTTATATAAGGAACCTGTATAGAATGATAGGAACAAAATGCAAGCACAAGCAAATCATAGCAAATCTGTGTACAAAAAGATGCTATCTTAGAAGCATATGGTTCTGTAAATGTTATCTAACATGATTGGTTTTCATAGAATAACAGGTACAGGTTCCCTCAACATACTAGAAACAGCGCAAGGACATGGTTTTGGCTTTCTGGGTTGTTTTCCCCCGGGGCGGCCTCTATAAAATGTTTTTGTTGGATCCAGGGCTGGCACTGCCAAAGTTTAAGCAAAATGTATTTTATAGAGGTGTTCCTGGTTGATCAGGGTTGGGGGGGTGCTGGTTTGACTGCTGGGCTACTTAGGGGTGTGGTGTTGGGATGGTTTTCTAGGTTGTTTTCCAAGGGGTTGTCTCTATAAAATGCCTTGTTGCTGGATCTATGGCTGAAACTGGCAAACGTCTAAGCAAGCAAGCCTTGTATAGACGTCTTCCTTTTGTTTGTTGACAATCTCGACTGCGCTACGAGGAGTTGGGCGGCTGCGAGCTCCAGCGGCTCATGTGTTCACCGGTGGTGCTGGGGGGTTTGAAGCGACGCCGTTCGGAGAGCGAGACGGAGCCAACCTACGAGGATGTCTTTGAGACGGATTCGCAGGAGCATTACTCTGAGCCAGCAGCCTCCATGAGCCATGATTGAAGCGGTGAACAGATGTGAATGTCAAGCGTTTGTAGTGCTTTCATGTGCTTTCCAAGTATTTGGGATCAATGCAGAAGCCGAGGCATGTAGTCAGGATATGTAAACACAAAGTCGTGTTTTCTGATTGCCACAAAACGTGGCATGAGGATGCATGAGGCACAAAGTCACGCCGGCTCCGGCGTGATGTGTGAAATTGCACCATCACGTTGGATGCTTTCCCAACATCTCACCCATGTTGTGAAATGAGACCTTGCACCTTGTGGCGCACTCACTCGTTTGTCTTGACGAAACTTCTTCGGATCATGGGATTCTTGAAAGCCCATGGCCAGTCTCGGTTCCAACAGCGCCAGGTGAGTTGTTTTGAGATCCTGGATGCTGCTGCAGCCTACTGCGATCCAAAATGCGAGAAAGAACCGCAGCTTGCTGATTTTGCTGGGCCTCCTATTCCTGTCGTGCGCGGGGGGCCGTGACGGTGTGTAAGAACTGCGCAATCAGCCGGTTTCGCAAGAACTGGATGAAACAGCCTGCGAGACATTTTTTTTGGCAGCACTCCCCCCCTGCCAATGTACTATGGCACAAGCTTGAGTTGTTGTATTTCAGATTAAAGACATACAGTCTTGTGTGGATCGATGAATATATATAAACATATATCATATACTCAGTCAGTTTGGATGCTATTTGGATTCCGTTTCTCCTCGTCGATGTGCTACCTCTTCGCGCCCAACACACGGCAGTTACCATTGTCGTCTCGGTTGATTGGCGTGCCCAGCAGTTGGATCACCTCGGCCCAGCGCAGCGGCAGAGGCTTTTCAGCAAGTAATGGCCATCTTTATGGCGTTAGCATGCGTTAGCTGCGGCCGCTAGCTGTTGGCATTTCATCACTTGCTGCAGTCATCATGAACTAGTGTGTTTTCATGCCTTGCCGAATGGTGTCATTCTCCTGTTTGATATGTTTGTCGTTTCCTGCATGTTCGCTCATCGAATGTGATCCCTGGCCGAGACCTGGTCTGTTCTTTGTCTCATTTTTACAATTCTTTGTTTCATTCTTGTAGACCATGGTAGACCCTATAGGCATCCATTGGCTCAAAATCGTGGGCTTGTTCACGACCAGCCAGACCCAACGTGACGTCCGGGCCAGACGTGGCATCCAGTGCAGATCGGTGCAGCTGATGATGCATGGAGGTGATGGCATGGCGGTGCAGGCGATGGTCTCGCTAGATGGCACGATGAGCAGTGCGGACGCGGAGCGCTCGTCGCAGTCTGGGTCCAAGGACTCCTTGGACGAAATGACCGGGGATTGAACAAAGGGAGGGACATGGAGCAGGTGGATTGGAGGAGTTGAAAGAAAGATCGACAGTATCAGATACTATGATTGAGTTCTTTGAGTCAACTGAGGATCTTTTTCTTCATGATGATTCATGATGATTCATGTGTTCGAGACCATCGGGTTTTCGAGTTTTGGAGAATTTGCTGAAATTTGCTGTTAGTATTTATCTCTACCAGTATACCGATAGTATTTAAGAGTGGAATGGCCATGTTCAGCCGTCCAATGCTGTTGAGCTGGATTACGGAGTGATCTGCGACGTTTGAATCCTGCACAGTCCCCTGAAGATTTGTTAGATATATATATATATATGACTTCTGCCGTAGGTGAGAATGTTTGCACGAAACTCCTGCGGCCACGGGCTCGTGTAGGGTCTCTACGCGGCGCATGGCACTCTGCGCGAAGTGTCGCCGCGCCGCGCCAGCGGCTGGCGACGCTTGGTGCTTGGGGTGCTCCGAGTGGGAGGCTCTCGGGTCAGAACTCTCGTTCTCCTGGAGCCATCCCGGACTCCGTGCGGTCGCCACTGACATAGTCGTGAGCGCGGTCCGCCAGGTGCGCGCCTTACGCGTCACTCGGGTCACTCCGCCCGTGGCGCAGGCTGCACGAGGCCAGACCCGGCCACTCACCCCTGAGCGCCCCCCTCCTACGGCTGGCGCTGGGTCCGAGCCGAAGGATCCTCGAGCTCCGCTGGTGCGATCTCCCCGGCCTGAGATCCCACCGGCTACAGAGGAAAAGGCCGACAAGGACGAGGAGAGCTCCTACGAGTCTGACGAGGACGACTCTGGTGAGGCCTCGGAGGCCACTATAATACAGGACCCAGCCAGGCCTGTGAGCACAAAGGGACTGTCCGCGAAGGCGGCGCCCGCTGCTCGTCACGCTGCAGAGCCGGCTGAGGAGGTCAAGCAGGAGAAGGTTGAGAATACTGCTGGTGAGGCTGGGTCCGTGCCCGTGCCCGCCGGTGAGGAGGCGGCAACTTCTTCGAGGGGTCATAGACACCCCAAAGGTGAGCATTCAGTTCGCCATCGAGGACGCGATCGTCGAGGAGACGGCTTCAAGAAGAAGAAGAGAAAGAGAGACAAGACTCACAGGGCAGGTAGAAAGCACAAACGGCTATATCGAGCAGACGAGAACTCATTCCTCACGATCCATCGAAGTTTGGACAACTCGTATTTTGAGTTTGACTCAACAGCCCCAAGGGAGGACGCGATTCCTGGGGTACCCCCCCGGGGAAGGAAGCAATGAGGGCAGGCGACGAACCTGGAGTTCCTGGTCACGGAGACGACGATTTCGGGGTCTACGTGTCCGGGATTTTTCAAGGTGGAATATGTTCGCACCTCAGCCGGGCAATGTGCTGGTAACTGCCGTGCCCTACGAGGTGATTGGTCAGGACGAGGTGGAAGGCTTTTTCTTGGTGCTGGGCTCAACCCTTGCATCAGATGCCAGTATGTTGGTACAGGTACGTGCGATTGGGGCCAGTCGAGACGATGTTGTCCCAACGCTCAGCAGTCTTTTCAACAGGCGCGCTGGTGCTCTTCACATTTGTTTGAACGAGGGACCGTGCGCGATAGAAGAGGGAGTTTTCCATGTGCGTCGACTGGAGCTATGGAATGGATCCGAGTTCCCCTCAGGTCGACTCACAGTTGCAGGTCGAAAGCTGCTCAAGCAGGTATTAGCTCCAGGAGGCACTGGAGACGAGATCGAGGACGCGCTCCAAGCCGAGGACTTAGGCGAGGTTGTCGAGCTAGAGGGCCCAGGAAAGGAGAGGGGAGTGAAGGATCCCCTGACAAAAGGCAAAGGAGGAAAACCACCAGGCGCTCGGGCTTCAAAGCGGAAGGCCCCAGGAGAGGGCCAAAAGGCAGTTTCGGGCCGTACCGCGCCTGGCATCCTCAGGGACAGGCTGGAAAAGGTCCGTCAAAAGCAGCAGAACCAGGGCCTTGGTCGACGAGTCAGGATCGCTGGAGAAAACCAGGTGTTCGAGGAGGATGGAGATGCTTCACCTGCTCCGGCCGGGTTGACTACGAGTTCGAAGATTGGCACCACTCGGGAGGCCGCTGGCGCTCGCCGAGCCGGCACCGAGATCGCGGTCAGGGAGCCAAGAGAAGGTATTATGAAGAATTTGAGGTTGAGGAGGCAGCAGAATGGAGGAGTGGTCGCCACCTTGACATCTCAAGCCGCCAAAGCAGTTCAAGACAAGAAGAGGAGGCCACGAAAGAAGAAGAACAAGGCATTGGATGCCTTGAAAGTGCTACTAGGCGGCAAGAAGAGAAAGAAAAAGAAAAAGAAAGAAAAGAAGAGGAAGAGGGGCGACGATCCCGATGGCGACGACTCCGGGGGCTCTTCAGGGAGCTCAGGAGAAGACGAGAAGTCAGGGAGCTACAGCGAGAGCGGGGACAGCTCAGAGGAGGAAAAGTCCCTTTTGCCCCCTCTCAAAAAGAAAAGCGAGAGAGCGGAGGGGTCAGTGCTGGAGCTCCTCATCACGCAGATAGAACAACGCCTCAACGAGTTAGGTGGCGCTGCAGAACACGAGAACCCGGTGTCACACGGCACCAAGGTTCTGACCTACTGGCACTCCCTGACCCACTCCGGAGGTGTGAGCTCCCAGACTCGAGACGGTCGCGAGTTGTTCTTGATAGCCAATTGCATCGACCTGTTGCGTGTTGGCCGACTGGGCCGGCTAGGGGATGCCCTCGCGGCTCGCTGGCTGGCCCTCGAGCAAGCGGGGCTGGACCAGAACTGGTCCGCTGCCCGGCATCTCGAGATATTTTCGCCAGACCATGCCACAGCGGCGGGACCGGCGGTGACGTTAGCGGCCAGGAAGTTTTCGAAGCTGATGGAGAAGGTCACCGACCAGGACAGCAGGCCACGAAGCAACAAAGGAGGCAAGGGAGATGCCGGCTGGAGTCGACCCGATCGCTGGCAGGAAAAAGGAAAGCGAGGCAAAGGCGGCAAGGACGGCAAAGAAGACCGAAGACAGAACTGGGGAGGCAGGGGCTCCCCGAAGAAAGGCCAGTGGAGCAATTGGTGGCAGAAGCCGAAGGGGCAGAAGGAGAACAGTTCCGACAAGGGAGACAAGGGAAAGGAGGAGTGATGGAGCGGCATTTGAGACGCTCTTGGTTGGACGAAATGCTAGCCTCTGCTGGAGATCTGTCCGCGCTGGGGCTCAGCATGTATTTTGAGCTTTTCCGGAGCCCGGCGATCGATGGAGGTCGCCCTTGGCACTACTTCCGCGCTTTTGCTGCGCTGAAAAAAGTGTGTCTTAGCTCTGGCCAGCTATCACGAGTGCTGCACTCTAAACGTCAGGTTTTCCCTCTCCCTTCTTTTGTTTTCCCAATTTTGTCGAACGTCGATGAGTTTTTTGATTTTGAGTCCTTTGTGAAGGGGGCTCAATGTCGGGCAACCCTTGCTAGGGCCTGCTGGTGTGAATTAGTAGTTCTGTTTGCTAATCATTTGGCCTGTGGTAATGCTACCCGTGCGTGTTCACGTCCTACGGCGGTGCAACGTGATTTGATGAGCTCAATCCGGGCTGCTGTTGACAGGATCTTGATGGATGACAGTCACGTGCTTTGGGGGGTTTCAGAAATCAAAGAAGATTTTCAGAAGAGAACCGTGTCCTACAGCGGAGAAGAAATTTGCAAGGCTGAAGCGTTGAGCCTAGCCAGAATCAAACCTGGACTTCCTCCTGAAGGTCACGGAGGGTCAATTGAAGCTGTCAAGTGGGTTGGAGGCAGGACACGTGAGCTTCTGTTGAATCCCCTCGGTTGCTTGTGCCCGGATGTTGGGCAAGATCTCCCAAGGTTGCAAGGGAAGGTTCATATAGTGCGAGAAGAGGCTCTTACTGTGGCGATGGAGCTGGTGCGACGAGGCATTTGTCGTTGGACCCACTCTTCTGAGGTCGTCACCTATAGAGGCCAGAAGGTTCTGAACGGACTGTTTGGAGTACCTAAGAGCAAGTTGCTGGAGAGTGGCGAGAGTGTGCTCAGGGTCATCATGAATTTGGTCCCCATCAACTCTGTCCTACGTGTCATCCCTGGTAGGGTCGCCAAGTTGCCTAACATTACCCAGTGGCTGAACGTTGTTTTGGAAGAGGGCGAAACAGTCCGTCTAGCTCAGTCGGACATGACTTGTGCTTTTTATCTTTTCGGCATGCCAATTGAGTGGAGCAGACTTCTGTGCTTCAACCTTAGTTTCGACTCCTCCACGTTAGGCGTTGAGGCAAGGGTTAACTCGGAAGACAAGTGGTACTTGTCATGTGCCGTACTCCCGATGGGTTGGAGCTCAGCTGTGGGCGTGATGCAAGAGATCGCAGAAAGTGTGTTGCTTCAAGGTGGAGTGGATGACCAAGGACAAATACATAAAACCTGCCCCCTGCCCAGTTGGATGATTAACAGTACCTCTGAGGGTATGCGTCAAGGCCGTCCTTGGTGGCATGTCTACCTAGACAACTTTGCTGGGGGTGCAAAGGTAGTTGAAGGACACCCGAAAGAGCTCATTGAGTTGCAACGCGCGGCAGAGGCGCTTTGGGGCGAGGCAGGTATTGTAGTGTCAACTGACAAGTCAGTAGTGGCCGCTGAGAGTGGAGTAGAGCTGGGTGCCTTTATAGGTGGCTCCGGTCAGTGGATTGGCGCCAGTTGTGAAAGGATGATTAAGATCATCAAGAGCACATTGTGGCTTATCCACCAGCCCAGCATCTCCAAGAAGAAGCTGCAGATCATGATGGGACGGTGGTGCTTCGCTTTGCAATTCCGCCGACCGGGTATGTGCCAGTTTGATGCTGTCTGGGCCTACATCAGCTCCAAGCGCCCCCGTGCTAGGCAGATTGAGGAGGTCAGGCAGGAGCTACTTTTTGCGGTTTTAGGGACCCCCCTTTTCCATACTTGGCTAGGATCCCGGATCGATGAGGTGATTACCTGCAGTGACGCGAGCCAGAAAGGAGGTGCCATTGCCATCTCGCGAAGTCTCTCAATGGAAGGAGAAGGGTTTTTGGAATCTCAGAATTAGAAGAACCACCCTTTGGCCATCCCGGTATTGGTGATATCCCTTTTCAACGGGATAGGGGGCGCAGCGAGGTGCTATGACGTGGCAGGCGTGAAGGTGAAAGCCTATTTGGCATGCGACATACGCAAACCTGCAAACCGAACTATGGCTCGGAGATGGCCAGACACAATCTTCTGGGATGACGTGAAGACTTTGACCCTGGACAAGCTCAGAGAATTGTTGGAACATGTGGAGGACTTTGAAGAAGTTCACTTGTGGGCAGGATTTCCCTGTGTGGACCTCAGCAGCGTTAGGGCGAACAGACTGAATTTGGAAGGAAAGTCCAGCGGGTTGATCCGTGAGGCCGTGAGGATTTTTGATGACACCAAGTCTCTTTTTCCCCAAGCTGCTTTCCACTTCTTTGTGGAAAACGTGTCTAGCATGGACTACAGTGCCAGGGATGAAATTAGTCGCATGTTTGGGGTTCTGCCCTACAAGGTGGATCCCAAGGAGCAAGTTCCGAACTCAAGACCTCGATATTGTTGGACTACAATGAATATGGAAAATTTGGATGGCCTCCACATCACTGAAAAGCCTGGGTACAAGGAAGTTTGGGTTGCAGGAGAATGGCCAGCCCCCGCACAGTGGCTCACCCCGGGCTGGGAGCAAGCAGCCCCTGGGGTTATCTATCCCACATTTATGAAAGCAATCAGGCGTGAAAGGCCTCCCCCTAGGCCGGCTGGAATAGAGCGAACTGACGCTGGTACCCGGTGCTGGTGGGAGAGCGAGGCCTTTAGGTTCCCTCCTTATCAGTACAAGTCCCAGTATGTAGTTTACAACCCAGCTGGAGAAGGCAGGCTCTTGAATGCAGATGAGCGTGAGCTACTTATGGGCTACGGCAGATCCCATACAATGCTCTGCATGTCTGCCTCGAAGGCGAAAGGACAACCCACGTCATTTGAAGATGAAAGGTGCAGCTTAGTGGGGGACAGTTTTTCTGTTTGGTCTTTTGTCTTATTTGCTGGCGCTGCGGTTGCCAAGTACACTGGTATTTTTAAGCCGGACCTCTTATTTTCACGCATGGGTTTCCCCCCGGGCGCTGGCCTGCACCCGGCCTTGAGCTGCCCACTTCAATTTGGCTGCCTTTTCCCTAGTTTCTCTGCGCCCCGAACGGTTAAGCAGTTGAATGATCACCTCTGTGCCCGCGTAAAGCACACAGGGTCAGACATTCGTATTACCACAGGACAAGTTATGAACCCGAGCGCTCTGCCGCGGCAATCGGTTCAAGCCAGTTGGTGGAACTGGACCGCCGTGTTTAGCACGCGCTGGAGTCAAACTGAGCATATAAACGCTCTTGAAACTCGGGCAATATACCTCACTATTCTTTGGAAAGTGATGAACAGGCAGTTGGTAAATCGGCGGATGTTTCACCTCACCGACAGCTATGTGGCCCTCTCTATACTTTCTAAGGGTAGGACAGGGAGCGCCAAGCTCAGGTATATTGTGCGCAAGATCAACGCCTTACTTTTGGTGAGCCACTCACTCCTTCACTTAGCCCACGTTGATTCCTACGAGAATCCTACCGATGCCGCGAGCCGCGCCTGAGCTGCTACGACGACAAAGGCTGCGACGCCGAAAGGGTTTAAGCCTTCATGACCGAGCGGTGACACTGAAAACCAGAATCAGGTATTTCGTTGCTGTTTCCGCCCTATTGCCCGCTCTTGAAAAGACAAAGGACGACATTGATGATTTTCTCATCGCTTGGATTGACCTCCAATATGTCCAAGGCGCCAGTATCACTTCCGTAGCGGATGCCCTATCAGGCCTGCACCATTATCTCCCATGGAGCCGAGGTAAAATTCGTGGAGCATGGAAGCTTTATGGTGTTTGGAGAAAGTTGGAAAAACCCAAACAGGCACCCCCATTTCCTGTCAATGTCGCGGAAGCATTAGTTGGACGTTGTGTGGATCTCGAGGACCTCAGGCTGGCCCTGTGCCTCTGCCTGGGGTTCTGGGGAATGCTGAGGACTGGCGAGATCTTTGATGTCAAATTCAAACACCTCTTGCTAGGAAAAGAGAACATGATCGTGCGGCTGGGAGACACAAAAACCGGGCTGCGCCGACAAGTCGATGAGAATGTTATCATTGATCATGTCCCCACCATGATGATCGCTCGGACACTATTTGATATTGGAGTTTCACGTCACGAACATGTTTGGGGGGAATCAAAAGAGCAATTTCGAGAGGGCTTTCGTCAACTCCTGAAGTTCTTCCATTTGAAGGCCTCTTTCAGGCCCTACTCCCTCCGTAGGGGGGGTGCTACAGAAGATTTCCGCCTTCACGGCTTGATGGAAAGGTCACTGTTACGTGGTCGCTGGGGCTCCAGCTTTGCTGCAAGGCAATACATACAGGAAGGTTTGTCCATGCTGACTAAATTGTCCCTTCCCCCCCGTTCCCTGCCCTTGCTATCCCACTATCGTTCTCTTTTGGCCCTCCATTAATTCCGGTCCAGTACTGGGATCGTGGAAAAGTGCTTGGATAAAGGCCGAAAGCTTTCAGTTGGATTCATT